TTGAAAGTAGCTGTAACTTAATAAAACCTAGTAAGTATAACAACTAAGTAAAGATAACTAGTTAAATCTAAGTAAGGTAAACTATTGGATTTTACAATGCATTCAAACGTTTGGGATCAATAACATTTTTTATATTTTCTTTTTTATGATGCTGTATTTTAAAGCTAATGTTGTAAAAATCCAAATAAGTTTTACAAATCTTTATTGGAAAGGGTTTAAACAATTTTTCATGCTTGTTCAATGAACCATAACACTTATTGAACATGCACCTTTGCAACACGAACAGGCAGTAGACAATTAAGGTCACAGCCATAATAACTGTAAAAATCCAAATAAGTTTTACAAATCTTTATTGGAAAGGGTTTAAACAATTTTTCATGCTTGTTCAATGAACCATAACACTTATTGAACATGCACCTTTGGAACACGAACAGGCAGTAGACAATTAAGGTCACATGCAGCCATAATAACAGTAAAGAGACCTTTCTACTGACTCTGAAAAACACTAAAAGAAAAATGCCCAGGGCTCCTGCTCTCCTGCGTGAACATGCCATAGTCCTGCTGCAGTATAGCAGGTTCAAACATCGTGTCTTTAATGTCACTATGAGCAACACCAAAAGGCTTTTTTCCCCTTTGCTCACTTATTTTCAGCTTTTACTTACAACTTGTACATGCAATGTTATATACTATATATATTTTAAAATCTTCCACCGTTCCGAAGAAAAAAAAAAAAAAAAAAAAAAGTAATCACATTCATACATATATACATACATGCATTACAAACCACTGGTAGCATATAGTGCCCAAAAACACCGAATTAACAACAACAGCAACAAAAGGGGATTCTTAACATGACAAAATCCTTTTGCAGTGGTTTTAAGAGTGCAATAATCTCTTCAGTCAAGGAAGCTGCCAGCACCCTAAGCATGAGCGCTCTTCTGCACAGTATAACCTCACATTTTTTTCTAATCTCCAAACCTCTTCTAAATATCCTAAATAACTCACCATTACATGTATACAACTCTAACATGTAATTTTCTTAAATTAAAAACACTTTTTCAACAAACACATTTTTTCAACATGTTTCCCTCTTAATGTGATCCCATGCAAAGCATGCTGGGAACTACACATCCACTGTTCAGTTAGTTGTGTCAACAAAAAATATCCATGTGGTCCCAACACAACATGATTAAGTTCACTTAAATTTAACAAATTTAAGTGGACTGAACATAATGGAAATAAAAATCAAGAATTTTGTTGTTTCTGTTCATTTTAACCAAGTAATTTGAACAAGCATAAAAAAATATATATATATGGTAGATTTTCCAACAATAGTAGGTTAAAAATTGTGTTGACTATATGTGTAAGGGCAAGTCTGTAGATGCATGTATTTTATCACCTTTGTTGTTTTGCAGTTCACTAGTTTAATGGTGAGACAACATTGACAGTCATCTTGATTTTTGAAACGGTAAAAGTTACCAAATAACAACATAAATATTCAATAACAGTAAAAGCTATGATAAAATCATATGATCTGACTGAGAGGCTATGGAAGAGCTACAAATATTTACATGCCTGCTGTTCATGGTGTAGGGTGTTCCATCAACCCATCTCCAACGTCCAGTTATCGCATCTGTAAGACCAATCCAGTAGGATTCAGATGAAAGAGCAGTGCGTTGCACAATAAAATCCTGAATGAAGCAAAGAAAATAGACATTACATGAGTTGATTATATTCCATTTCTATGCAGTGTTTGTGTCTGTGTATCACTAACCCACTCCTTGGAGTCATTCCCCAGGATAAGCAGCAGGGTGCCCTGTCTACTGCAGTATAAACGTGCCGTTTGCCAGCTCACTTTATTACTGGAAAATTCATAGCAGTTGGAAAGAAAAGGCTGCCACCCAGCTTTACAGCTCAGAACAGGTTTATCTAAGAGAGAGAAACAGTTTTATAACATTATATTTTTTCTAACAATTTGACAATATTATAGTGTGAAAGTGAGTTTTGTTATATATATATATATATATATATATGTGTGTGTGTGTGTGTGTGTGTGTGTGTGTGTGTGTGTGTGTGTATATATATGTGTTATAATGATACTGCTTACGCCGAGTCAAATTTGTTATTCTGCTATTCAGATCAGCTTTCAGTTCACCGACCATCTCCATAAATCTGTCATCTGTACACAAACAAGAACTAAGCATTCACATGTTCCTTCTTGTTTTTTTTTACCATAAATAGGCTTTAAATTCAATTTGTTAAATTCAAAAGTTTTCTGGACTTTTTAGGGTATCAAAACATCATTTTGTACTTAAAGTAAGTTACATCGATACACCAGTAGGTAGCAATAAATTACTTGCTGTCTTTATGAGTGAATCATTGAGTCATTATCGACCGATTCATTCAAAAGAACCGATTCGTTCAGAAAGAAAACTCCACAAAACGTCTCAGGTTACGCATGTAACCATGGTTCCCTGAGAATAGGGAACGAGACGCTGCGTTCTTTAGAGGGAGCTAGGGGAACGCCTCCAGCGTGACAGGTGTCTGAAGCATGAATGAAAAAACGACAATGAACTTTACATTGGTAGGCGGAAGCCTATGACTCAAGCAAATGAGCGACTGTGGGTATAAAAGGAGCACCTGTGGAATACGCCATCCTCTTTTTTGTCTGAGGAGACACAGATATGACACCCGAAGCATGGCAATGAGATGCAGCGTCTCGTTCCCTATTCTCAGGGAACCATGGTTACATGCGTAACCTGAGACGTTCCTAACAAGGGAACTCCACGCTGCGTCCTCTAGAGGGCGCTAGGGGAATGGTCTACCCACACTGCCATGCTGAGGGATGAGTGCCCAAAAAACCTGGATTCCTTAAGTCAAGGACTCAAGGAACACCATCCCTGCCCCCGCGAAATCGCTGTGGCCAAACCCCGAGCTACCAAGCTCTACAGGCAGGCCCAAAGCTCGCCTCATAGACTAGCTCACCCACCAAAGTATGGAACTCTAAGAGTGGAGGTCTCAGCATAACGACTCTCTAAAGTTAGAGGAGACCTAGCTACACTCAACGCCAGAGGCAGTTAGTGAGGCTCAAAAGAAAGAGCTTACAACTCATATTACTGCCTAAGCGGAGCTCTGGAGAGCGGAGGCTTCAGCAGAATGACTCTCTTAAACGAGAGGAAGCCTAACAACACTCAATCCTAGTTTAGGAGTTCTTAAGAGCGGAGGTCTCAGCATAACGACTCTCTAAAACATGAGGAGACCTGACTACACTCAGCACCAGAGGCAGTTAGTGAGGCTCAAAAAGAATGAGCCTACAACTCATATTACTGCCCAAGCGGCGCTCTGGGGAGCGGAGGCTTCAGCAAGATGACTCTCTTAAACGAGAGGAAATCTAAGAACGCTCAACCCTGGTAGGGGGCTCTTAAGAGTGGAGGTCTCAGCCTAACGACTCTCTAAAGCGAGAGGAGACCTAGCTACATTCAACGCCAGAGACAGTTAGTGAGGCTCAAAAAGGCTTCAGCAGGATGACTCTCTTAAACGAGAGGAAGCCTCAAACACTCAGCCCTAGTTGAGGAGCTCTTAAGAGTGGACATCTCAGCATAAAAACTCTCTAAAACGAGAGGAAACCTAGCAACACTCACTCACCGAAGATACACTTATAATGAAACCCGATTCCAGACCCTCAGAAAGAATCCTCTTCATTGGTCCGGCCTCAGGGTCCACTCTCAAGTGCACACGATGGGGGGGGGGGGGGGGGGGGGGGGGGGAGAGGGGGGTGCATCACTGCCGCTGATTGGACAGCAGCAGCCGGTCACCTTCTGTATGGACATAGAGCAAAAGTCTAACTTTAAACAGTAGAGGGCACTGATGAGCAATTAGGCAAATGAAGCTAATCTGGGGTTATAAAAACATCAGCTGAGAACCATAAGGGCTGAAGGTGACATCTAGTACAGCAACAAAAAATCAGTCTGAGAATCAGAACCAGTCTGTATGGGCTTAAGTGTCTAGATTCTTTTTGGAGCCACTATTTGTATATGAATGTTGTTGTTGGTAATCCATCCATCCATAAATTATGTTGTATATCTAGCTGTATATTCTGTGTACATTATTTACCAACAAACTAAATCTGGCAGTTCTTGTGTATGTTGGTCAAACGCAGTGTGAGTGAGTATTTTGTGTGTGTGCATTCCACGGCCCCCGAGGGGGGGGGGGGGGTGCAGGGGTAGGAGAAGGAGGGTTTCAGGTTCAAGTACCAGCTCCAGATGGCTGTTTGTCGCGTCCGCGCTGGATCTTTCCCCTTAGATCCCTTCTCCTGTCTCTGAACTCCCGCCTCCTCTGCGATCTACTCGGAGGAGGAGGAGGACCACGAGCCACACTAACCGCCTGACCCTGTCTCCGATCTGCAGACCAGGATGGGCCAGGATCCCCATCGTGTTTGGGCGCAGACATGGACCAGCGCGGTATAAAAGACTTAAAAGCCGCCAAGCACGCTTTCGCCTCCCTGAATTTACTGACCTCCTTCTCAACGGATGTGCCGAACCATTCAGAGGGTGAAACCGGCGTATCGAGAAGAAAGCGTTTCTCTTTCTCCTCGATGTCCGCCAAGTTCACCCACAGATGTCTCTCAGTGGCCACCATCGCCGCCATTGACCTACCAATCGCGGCAGCTGTCTGCTTGGTGGCCCTGAGAGCGTGGTGCGGCACAGCCCCTGACCCTGGTCCTTCAGCAAATCAGCCTGGTACGCCTGCAATACTGCCATCGTATGCAAAGCAGCACCAGCCTGACCTGCTGCCGCGTATGCCCTACCATTCAAGCGCGAAGTCTCCTTCAATGGCTTGGATGGCAGGGCTGGAGCCTTCAACGTCGATGTCACCCCAGCCGAGAGATAGCTCGCAAGCGTCTCTTCGATAGGGGGCATCGACACATATCCGCGCTCACGCATCCCCTCGATGTTAGCATAATTAGAATTATGCTGGTACTGATGGATGCGGGCTGAATATGGTTTATCCCATGCCTTCTCGATCTCAATATGGAAATCTGGAAGGAATGGGAGGCTCACGGGAGCTGGGCGGTTATGTCCAGAAAGAAATTGCTCATCAAGTCTGCCACAAACAATTTCCCCTTTTTTGCGCCTCCACTGCAGATCTAACTTCACAATGGCGCGATCCATAACCTCCAACAGCTCATCATACGCGGGGGCAGGTAGACTGAGAAGGCTCAGAAACATCCTCTCCACCCTCATCAGCCAGATCCTGCTCACCTTGACTGGCCAACAGAGCACTTCCTGCTGGATCAGAGGATGTAAATGACAACACATCCTCTTCCAGCAGTTCACCCTAGGCAGCCGCCGACGAGTGCTAGAGATTAATCCCTCTCTCGAACTCGTCAGCAAGCTCCATCTGCGATCCCCACGATCTCAGTCTCCTCGCTGCCTCAGCAGCGGCAGGACCCGAGCCACTGGGGGAAGATGATTGTCCCAATCCCCACGAAAAAAGGGACAAACGTGAGTGGAGCTTTCTCACTGAGAAACGCTCACAATGAACGCATTCCGTTCCCTCGAGAACAGAACGCGCGTGCTCTTCGCCCAAACACATAACGCAAAGTGTGCATCATCTGGTGTCAGATAGCGCTGACACCTTCTGCACATCTCCTAAAGCATCTCACAACAGACATCGTTCTTACCAAATCACACTTCAGAAACAAGGATGAAAACAAAAAAGAGGATGACGTATTCCACAGGTGCTCCTTTTATACCCGCAGTCGCTCATTTGGTTACGTCATAGGCTTCCGCCTGCCAATGTCAAGTTCATTGTCGTTTTTTCACTCATGCTTCAGACACCGGTCACGCTAGAGGCATTCCCCTAGCGCCCTCTAGAGGACACAGCTTGGAGTTCCCTTTCGAAAGGGAACTGTGTTTTGCTCAGAGAGGCAAAGGTTGTTTCTTGGTTTGACTTATTTTCGTAATGTTTTTGTTATTGCAGCAAAAATACCAATATATTATTGGTGTATATATATTATTAGTATATACCAAAAGTATGTTAGGGAAGTCGTGGCCTAATGGTTAGAGAGTTGGACTCGTAACCCAAAGGTTGCAGGTTCAAGTCTCGTACCAGCAGGGATTGTAGGTGGGGGGGGGAGTGAATGTACAGTGCTCCCTCCCACCTTCAATACCACGACTGAGGTGCCCTTGAGCAAGGCACCGAACCCCAACTGCTCCCCGGGCGCTGCAGCAAAAATGGCTGCCCACTGCTCCGGGTGTGTGTTCATGGTGTGTGTGTTCACTGCTGTGTGTGTGCACTTTGGATGGGATAAATGCAGAGCACTAATTCCGAGTAGGGGTCACCATACTTGGCCACATGTCACGTTACTAATAAAAGTCACTAATACACAAAGAAACTGGCAATAGGTCTCTGAAATGCAAGTTACTTTAATTCTTGTCCATTGCACTGGTGTATCAAAACAATATCATGCTCCTAATCATATTCGGAACAATGTTGCCTAATATTATTTATTATTTATACATTTATGTTTGAACGTGCTTTACCGGTCTAAGCAGTATTTAATTAACAATTAATGTCATTATAAAGTTCTATATGAAATATAAATCTTAAGGTAAAATCTTACATATATCTTGTTGGTTTGAAGAAAGCAAAGCTAAAGAAGATGTCAGATTGGCCACTTCATTCTCTACCTCAGTCACTTTACTGTATTGGTGCTGCACTGTGAAGAACACAAATATAAGTTTGCAAAATGAGGTTAAAACGATACAAAAACACTAAGCACATAGCATAACTTGAGCAAAGCCTTTGCTAGACATGTTTATTATGGCACATGTATTTCCTATTTACACTTTTTAATTTTCGCATGATCAAAATCACAACTAATGGAGTTTCTAGAAAAACAAACAAAAAAACAATCATGGTCTGGCTACTGTGTTTATTGTAGATGATAAAGCTTACAATCAAAGCATCTGTGAAACTTACATTTTACAGATACAATGATTAACAGGGCCATGAAGAGTATGACAGCGCCACACATCAGAAGAAAGCAAAACTGTTTATTCCAAAATCGACCTGCAGTAGACAATACGGAGAGGTGAATTACTGTTTATGTTCTGATTTACAATCAAATATTTATTATTGTTCTTTGCTCTCTCAATAATACATTACATTTTTAATGGAATTTAGATTTTTTTTTTTTAGAATATAATATTTGTTAAGAATCAGAGATTTTTGATTAAATAGATTTGACTGAAATATCCTGAATTCTACAAGCTGTTTCAAAATGTGTTTATACTGATATGATTAAAAATACACTGATATGATTACACATCCACATTTAAAGGCTATTACTTCATCTGAGGACAAATCAAAGCCTTCAACTAAAGTCCAAAACATGAACAGTATTCACTGAATAACTCTAGGTGTCACTCTCTAGCAAGATCAGAAAGACAGAACTGTAAGGTCTTCAGTAAGTACTTAACTAAGTTTTATTTTTTAATGTATGAACTACAGGTAAAGCTTTCACTAAATGTAATGCAGGTTGGTATAAGCCATACCTTTCCATGTGTGTGATGGTTTCTTGTTAATGTCCTCATTTAGTACACAGTAAAGATTGTTCTGTGAGCTGCTGCTGAAGTCCTGAATGCTCTTAAACTCTGCCATTGCCAGCCTCTGAATGTGAGAGGAACTGAGGAGAGTTTTTAAAGTCCAAAACATGAACAGTATTCACTGAATAACTCTAGGTGTCACTCTCTAGCAAGATCAGAAAGACAGAACTGTAAGGTCTTCAGTAAGTACTTAACTAAGTTTTATTTTTTAATGTATGAACTACAGGTAAAGCTTTCACTAAATGTAATGCAGGTTGGTATAAGCCATACCTTTCCATGTGTGTGATGGTTTCTTGTTAATGTCCTCATTTAGTACACAGTAAAGATTGTTCTGTGAGCTGCTGCTGGAGTCCTGAATGCTCTTAAACTCTGCCATTGCCAGCCTCTGAATGTGAGAGGAACTGAGGAGAGTTTATATAGTGAGAGAGTGATGCGGACATCACACAGTTATTCTTTCCTCATACCAAACCTAAATAGGAAGTCTGTACATTATGAAAGACTGTGACTGTGACTAATGACAAAATATAATGGCTGCATTTGGAACAAAGCACTTCTGAACCCAAAGAACTCAACCCAGAGCAGGCAGCATATTGTATCCTTATGATATATCGCTAGCCAGTGCATGTGAATCTGTAGTTAGAAAGTTTTTTTTTTTTCTTTCAACTTTTGGCTTGATTTCTAGCAAGACATTAATATTTGTGGTAATTAAATATTTGCTTGGTTATCATCAAAGCTCTCACTATTTTGTTGTAGATCATAAACCCTTATGCTGCCTCAGAAGCTTGTCTGAAATCAGTTTTGGAAGGTACCTTCCAACACAAACATTGCTGTGAATCATTGGCTTATAGGGCAGCAAGGCAACAAGTCAGCTTTCAGGCTGTGTGCTTGATGCATTGCCTTATTATAAAACATACACGAGTAAAGTGCTAGACAAAGCACACTATCTCTGTCTGTGGTCATTATAATTTCTGGAAAAATGACGGGAAAAAAGGGAGAGGGAGAAAACTGTAGTTTTTTCCCCCCAGTTTCCAAATAAAAGCTTGCATGCCACAAAATACAATACTTCCCTATTAAAGAGAATTAAAACAGCTTATACAGCAATTCTTCAAAGTCGTTCAAACGAAACAATTTTATTATGAAACTAGGTGAAAGCCTTTTCGCTGGAACAAGTCCTGAAGTGTGAAGGCCGCAGGCTGACTTATTGTGGCGTTGTCATGGAAACAACATTGCACAGTTGCACTTGAGCTCAGTAGATAAACCTTTGAAGTTAATAATATAACATCTGCTTTATATTTACATTTTTACATGACCTTACAACTGCAAGGCAGTTATGCAAAGTATTGATTTATGATTTTACATGACCTTACAACTGCTAGGCTGTTATGCAAAGTATTGATCTGGAGGTTGGGTTAATTACAGTAGAGCATTTCCAAGAAATCAAAACCGAAAATATTATACATCATCTTACACATAGAAATAATATGTCTGGGTTCCATAAAGAACCATGCTTTGAAAAATGATATATTGGACCTTAATGGTGTTATAAATAACATTTTTAATGATAGTTTATTTTCATAACAATTTGCATATTAGTATATTTATATCATTAATATATAAAGTGTTATTAATTTTATTTGTATATATTGTTTTATACATAGTTTTTTATCCCTCTATCTGCCTGGTCTTATAATATTTTGTAGCCTCTATTAGGGTGTACCTTTAAAAATAAAACACCAACAACAGCATGTAGTTTCAATTTAGTTTTTTATGACATGTGAAATTGTAGCAAAAATGACAGTGCTCTAACAACAGTTATTAGCAGAATACATTAATTAATGACAATTGACATTGAACATAAATAAATACTTAAAGTAAAACAAAACAGAACAAGTTCCAGTGAAATATTGTCTCTTCACAATCCGATGCCATTAAGTCCATCATTATGTGTATTTTGGTGTGATTGAGTGGCAGTTTCTCTCTGCAGATGACGAGGTTGCGGATATGACAGCATCTGAAATGCACTATTGAGTTTAGAGTTACAATGTGTCTCCTTCCATGTAAAAACAATTGTTTATGAAGCCCAAAAGTAGTATGTGAGTGTTAAAAAGAAAGCGTAAAGCCATGGGATAGCTGTGACTGGGTATATTTATGCACACAAAAAAATCTAACAATATGGACCATAATTTCAATATCTTTATTTTACTTAATGGTGATGGTGAAACGGAGAGAATTATCCTTACCTCCTTACCTGAACAGAGATGGTGACACTTACATGTTCTCCTAAACTAAAAAGAGAAAAATATATGATTGGTAGGAAACCATTTATAATTTGAAAGTAAAAAATTATAGACATTTTAAGAAATAAATCATTTGCATGTTGAGAGTGTGTTGACAGTCTGTGTAGTTGGATGGCTGAGCTCCAGAAAATCAGTATTGAGCCATCTTTGTTTAGAGTGTAGCCTCTGGGTTTTACATTAAAACAACAACAACAACAACAACATGTGTGAATTAGGTACTTCTAGTTTTTATTGATGTGAAATTGTAGAAAAAATGTTAGTGCTCTTTAGAACAGTTATTAGCTGAATATATCAATAAATGACTATTTACACTGAACAGGAATAAAGACATAAAGACGTAAAACAAAATAGATGTGATGAAGACAAGTTCCAGTGAAATATCTCCACAATCATCTATGATGCCTTTAAGTCCATCATTTTGGTGTGATTGAGTAGCAGTTTCTCTCTGCAGATGATGAGATTGTGGGATGTGATGCATCTGAAATACACAATTAAGTTTAGAGTTACAGTGAGCCTCTTCCATTTGTTTATGTAAAAACAATTATGTTCACGGAAGGCCAAAAGTAGCAAAAATGGAGAGCATGTGAGCCATTCACAATCTTAAAAGGAAAAAAGTGATATAAAGTCATAGACAAAGATAAAGATAAAGACAAAACACGCTTTAATGTTTTTGTGACTGGGTATGTTTATGCACAAACCCAAGTAACAATTACAAAAAAACAAAATCTAACAATATGGATTATAAATTCAATGTCATTTGTTACTTACTAAGTGGAGAAGAGGAGAGAAGTATCCTCAGCTTAACAGAGATGCTCACACTTACATGTGACCAAAAAACTAAAAAGAGAAAAGAACATGTTTGTGTGGAAACCAGTTAAAATTTGTCTGTAAATTTAAGAAAGAAATCATTTACATGTTGAGAGTGTGTTGATCGTCTGTGTAGTTGGATTGATGAGCTCCAGAAAATCAGTAATGAGGTGCTTTGACAGCTACAGGTTTAAAATAAAAAAGGCAGGAATAAAGACCCCTAAACTCTAACATAAAGAACTATTTCAGCATAAAGGTGTTCTTCCCCAGATAGCACACATACGTCTGTGTCAGGGTTTTGCCCTGACACTCTGGTTGTCTTGTGTTTTTGTTTCTTGTGTCAAGAACCCTCAATCCCTGTGAGTCCAGAGGTGTCTAGTTCGTTGGCCTTGGTGTCAGAGCCTCAAGTTACAGTTACGAAGTATTCTTTCAAGCCTCCCAGTCCAGTTGACTCATTTACAGCAGTTATAAAAGAGACTGTTCCAGCCTTTCATGTCACGCCTTCAGAAGTTGATCCTGCCAGTCAAGTCCATTTGAGATGCTCCTACCTATCATGTCATGTCCACAGAAGTTGTTCCTGTTAGTCAAGTCAAGCCCTTTGAGATCGTTCCTGTCTGTCAAGTCCACAGAAGTTGTTCCTGTTAGTCAAGTCAAGCCCTTTGAGATCGTTCCTGTCTGTCAAGTTCACAGAAGATGTTCCTGTCAGTCGTGTCAAGTCCATAGAGCTGGTTCTTGCCTGTTATGTCAGATCCAAAGTGGTTCCTGCCAGTCAAGTTCATGGAGATCATTCCTTAATAATAATATTTAGTCCTTTTGTTTATTCTCTTGCCTGTCTTGGAGTAATTTGTGTTTCTGTGGAGCTATACTTTGTCTTGTTGTGGTGTTAGAGTTCCTGTCCTGACCTGTTCCTGTCCACTGGTTCCCTTGCCTGGTGTCTGGGGGTGCTTCAGAGTTTATGGTCAACAAGTATCTGAGCTCAGCTCTCTGGTGCCTTGCTCTGGTCTCTCTCCCGGCCTGGTCTTGCCACCTCTGCTATAGTATTCTGCCAGTTGATGTCTGAGGCTGTTCCAGTGGCCTTCCTTAGCTATCTGTTTATTGTGTTCCTGTTGTGGTATCACCTGTGCACCTCACAACCCTTTTGTATTGATCTGTTTTGTCAATAAACCCTTGTTACACTCACTGCAATTGGGTCCTCCTTCCAGATCCCTGACAGTCTGCAAGATGTCTATTAAAGACCGCTTCATCTGGAAAGCATCTGCTGTGTACAAACATCTGATAGACATCTTTTAGATGTCAGTTTTACATTATACATTCTAAATCATAAACATCTTCTAAATGTCTATTTGACATCTGATAGGAAATGTCCTATAGACATATTGCAGATGAGCAAACACTCTAAAAAATGTCTTGCAGACGTCAAATAGACATCTCCATGATGTACGTGTGCTATATCAGGGTCAGGATGATATGGTTCTGAATAGAACTGTTATTACATGTATAGAACCTTTAAAGAACCATCTTTTTTAGAGTAGTATATACATGTATAAATATACAATATATATATTTATACATTATATTTCTACAATATATATTTATACATGTGTGTGTATACTTGTTCTAGACCCTGGACAATAAAAGCAAGAAGAACAAAGTATATCGGCTTCATTTATTTACCATATTTTTTATACTTATTTTTTGATGATCAAAAATGGTAATCTATTTAAGGTGTAACCAACCAGTCAATATATATTTTAATATGAGTTCTTATGGTTGTTTGCTTACTGGAAAATGTCATGATAGCAGTGACCTCAAAAGGGAAACAGAACTATTTATTCAGCATTTCTTAAAACCAATGAATAAACTCAAGATTTTATCATGAATTTACAGGTTTTGTTTACAGGAAAGAGGAATTCGCATGGAAGTGTGTTATATTAAAATGCCATTTCAGCACAGCACAATGCAACAGAGGCCATAAACGTCTCTTTATCAGACTTATATGATGTATAATCTTTGTTGCGACTTCATACTAAAAGCTGCTGAAAGTAAACAATTAGGCCTGCATGGTCAATACCAGAAGTGTTAGTTTGAAAGCATAGACTGTTATTTTTACGCACACTTGTGTCGTGATGTGGAAAATACTTGTTTCATTCATAGGCTACTTCGTATGAAAGGGTGCTATTGAGGTGTGTAAATGAAAATGTATGTAAAATGATATTCAAAGTAAAAACTATAACTTCGCGGTATAACTTATTTTTATATCATCTTTATTGCATCTGATCCATTTCAAATAGAGCCACGCCGAAAGCGAAAGGACTTTTATTCTGACTTTTTCATTCGATTCTTCTGAGACACCGCAAGCAGCAGGAGCGGTATGTAGACCCGGCGCAGTCTGCAGCCAAGAGACTAATGTGTTATATTCGTGTAGGCTATTTGTGTGTGTGAGAGAGTGTGTTGTTCGTTTCTCATTGTGTTTGGAGAAGTTTAAAACAGTGCTAGGTCTAATGATCAAATACCGGGTTACCACCTCAATCATTTAAAGGACAAGTCTAAACGACTAAAGCCATATGTGATAACATGTGATTTTGATCATATTTCTTTATAAAAATAAATATGTTAACATTCAACAATATATCAACATTATCAACAGCAATAATGATTGATGTTGATGTTTGCTGAAGAGAGTGAAAGTGAAAGTGATAAAGATTTGAAAGGTTTAAAACAGTTATATTCAGTCTCGCACACAGGGGGCAGTAAAGCTAAAATCATGGTCATGGTTACACTGATGATAGAGGCAGACCAAAATACTGGTGACACTGACTTCTGACTTATTTGTCGCATTAATCAACTAATCAACTGATAATCAAGAGTGAATTCAAATTTGTTTCAGGACAAGATTAAACAACAAGTAACCAGTACGAAAAACGTACTGTAAGAAGACAAAAAATGATCCAGAACCAACTCCAACAAAATGAAATTACTCAAGGTAAAATTCTGGATTATTGAAATTATAAAGTATTATGGGGAAACCATTATTCATTGTAAGACTTTATAAGATGCGTATGGCTTAACTTGCATCTTAAGGTTCTTAAATATTTTTTTCTGTCTCATCTACTTCTCACAAATATCATAACCTTGTCTTGAGTCCATGTTCCAAAAATACACAGCAAAAAAACAACACACTCTGTTCTTGATCTTGAAGGAAAATACTTCTTCATAATTGAGATGGGCAAATCACACATTTTGCGGAAGGAGATTTTAGGTCATCTCCAAAAGCATAGGCCTGGATCGACAGAGGTGCACAAGGTGGAGGACTGTGATGTGATTCTGGTTTTCTGCCCCATTGTTTCACGGGCAGGAACTGACATTGTTGCTGCTTTGAATGAACTAAATACATGTTCAGGTAACTTCAAGATTAATCACCAGAAGGTTACTTAGATATTGATATGAGTTGAAATACTATTCACACATTTTTGTTCTTAAATTGAAACAGCATCCAAACCAGCTATTTTGATGGTGTTCCATCACTCATTCAACCCTGATAAAATTTTACCAGACAGCAGCAGAAATATAACCAGGAGAAATACACTCACAGTGGACTGTCTGTTCAATGAAGATGTGGGATTGTTGACATGCAACAGGAATGAGGAGGCACTGGCCAAAATTGTTTGCCATTTCAAGCCTCAGGTTTACCTCTTTAAGTGTATCTTACATTAATTTGAGATGAATGTGAAAAGTAATTATGCGGATATGACTTAGTTCAAATGGTAAGTAAATAACAATTTAAAGGTCCCATGGCATGAAAATTTCACTTTATGAGGTTTTTTAACATTAATATGAGTTCCCCTAGCCTGCCTATGGTCCCCCAGTGGCTAGAAATGGCGATAGGTGTAAACCGAGCCCTGGGTATCCTGCTTCGCCTTTGAGAAAATGAAAGCTCAGATGGCCCAATCTGGAATCTTCCCTTTATGTCGTCATACGGGGAAAGGTTACCTCCCTTTTCTCTGCTTTGCCCGCCCAGAGAATTTGGCCCGCCCATGAGAAAATGAGCTACTACCGTGCGAGACGAGCGCAATATTTTTTTTTCCTCGAGACATCATGGCTTGCAAACGAGCGAAGCATGGCAGTTGCCCCGCCTCTCTCCTCCTCATTAGCATTAAAGCTACAGACACAGAAATGGCACGTCCTAAGGAAAGCTCATTGTAGGACTGGCTCGTAGTGGCTGAAATTCTGCACCAAGGCTGAATTTCGGGAAAGAGACTTCAGATACAGTACTATGGACCACTTAGGCCTATATAAAAGCATCTAAAAAGCAGCATGTCATGGGACCTTTAAGTAAGTCATAATGCATGAAAAAGCATTAGACCTTCCCTTTAATAATAATAATGAACTATATACAAAGTAGGAAAAATGTGGGGAACAGTCACTCTGTATTAAACTATGCTTTTTAGTCCAGACTTGCTTAAACAATGTATATACACTGTGCAGTACCCTCCAAAAGTCTGGAAGTTTTAGACAATATCTAAATCCTTATTTTTGGTTGACCTTGCACTGATAAGGGACAACACAAGCTATGATAACTATATTTAAAAACATTTTTTTAAATTATTTTAGTTATTTATTTGATTAAAAATGCACTCTAAACATAGATATACACTAAACGTTTTTCTAAAGCATTTTTAGCAACCAATCAGTAAAGATATAAAAGTACCAATAATCTTCAAAAAAAATAAAACGTACAAGTCATGTCTTACTGTCACATGTGGATATTGCCTTTCTTATGTAATCAAAATAGCCAGCATTGGTCTGCAATATTGTTAATTGATAATTCGTCTATTTTTTATTATTGTATGTTATAAATTATTGAAACATTTTATATGATGATAATATATATGCTTTTCTCTCTTTTAGGAACTAAAGAAATTTTCTGGAATCATCATCAAAGCTATGTTCGCTGGTTTTATTTTTTTAGTACTTTACAAATTATTTCCGGTGAGAATCTCTCAATGAGTATGAGTAGATGATGACTGAATTTTCATTTGGGATGCACTGCTTTTCTTACAGTGTAATATAAACTTGTTTGGTTCATATTAATGTCTGACTTTATCTGATTTTAGACATTGGATTTTAGATTATTTTGGTAAATTGGTGGTCTTTAAATTTGCGACAATTAATCAAATTCAAATTCATTATTTTTCCCCCCACAGTTTGGATGGCATGGAACACAAAACAACTGAAAAGTATGATCTGCTAAAATAAACCATTAACTGTGGATTTCTGAATGGATAGAGTGTAAATTGTTGCTCATTATCATACTGAGTGTAATTAACTTTAAACTATAATAAGCTCTAAAATGTGTTGTGTTTTGATTAAATGCATGCAAATTGATAATTGTTGTGCTTAATAGCCTGAATAAACATTAATATTGAGACTTTAGATTGAGAAGTTCAGTGTTACGATTGAATTACAGTTGCATTACTTCTATTGTAGTTGTAAGGGACATTAAACTATGGCACAACTATAAATTTTTGTTGGAGCTTAATATTACTGATCCCTAATATCACACTTTGACATGGATGTATAAATTATAAACTAAAGTGAATCTTGATTGCGAATGTGTCTCAGAATTCAAACATGATACAAAATTCAAAACATGATACTTAAGCATAAGACATTTTTAGGATGCACATTCCTAACAGGTAAAGAAGAAATAGGAGTAGAGATTCTATAATTAATGCATTTAGCAGACACTTTTGTCCAAAGCAACTTACGGTGCATTCAGGCTACACATTTTTTACCAGTATGTGTGCTCCCTGGAAATTGAACCCACGACCTTTTGCGCTGCTAATGCAATGCTCTACCACTGAGCCACAGGAACTTATAGTAAGTTTAAATATTTGACATTATCAAAGCCTGCAGACTAAAAAGGAAAGCTATACTTGACTTGCTTAAGGAACTGCATCAACAGTCTAAAAGGACCTAAACTTTTTCTTTTTAACGGTAATCTTCATTGGTCCTTTGAATCCCTTATTCAGTTATATCAGGCTGGGTTTTTCTTTCTTATTAACCTGCAAGTTAATGTTTTATATTTGTAAACATAGACTTTTCTGTCAACTTGTAATATCATAATAGATTATGTTGTCTAAAATATTAATGTTTTATTTACATGTTAAATGTCTTCTCCCTGGAAGTAATGCAGAAGGAAAACTTTACAGTAATCTTTTCGCTTACGAAGATTAAAGGCTGTGAGACAGAAAATGTTGAACCTTTACTACAATCTACAATCCATAAACTTATATGGAAGCGTGTATATTGTACAAATATTTGAATTAGTTCTATATTCATATTCTTAGATAAAAACAATGCAAAAATAGCCTAATAGGTATCATGCAGCCAACTCTAGGCTACTGAGTGATCCCGTCGACCAATAAGTGCAAGAGCAACAAAGTGAAAGGACTTTTACTCTGGGTGAGCCACAGCGAGCAGCAGGAGTGATGAGACACCCAATGCAGTCGGCAGTGATGGTTTATTCGTGCTTGTGTTTTTTTTGTATATGCCTGAGAGTGGGCTGTACGTTTCTCAGGGTGTTTTGAGAAGCACAAACACAGCTCTATATGTTTAATGTCTGAATATACGCTTTTAACACCGACGTCAAATTAAACCAATTGAAAAAACTTTGACAACTCCATATGAATAAAGATTGGTCTATTTATCAGATTTAAAAAATGTTATTTCATTTTTCAATACTTATTATATTATGTTACAGGTGAAGCAAGCATATTTGGTATTTTAAGTAAGAATTAAAGTGAAAGTGATAAAGATTGAAAACAGGGCAGTAAAGAGCAGCACAAGGCAACATAGTCTGATTTACTGACTTAATGATTTTTCTGATCCTTCACCCTGTGAAAGTGTTTATTAGTTAATGGCCAGTTTGTTGAGGAAAAGCTAAAATATTGTATATTATTATTTTTTAATAGACTTGTTTTTTTTAAAGATTATTATTTGTATTTTTTGGGGGGTAGTAGGGACTAGACCATACCATAGTTCAGTATAGAAACAATGCTTTACATTTGATTTAAGCAGCTACAAGAAAACATCACAGGTTCCTGACCAGGAATGAAATGTTTGAGATCTGAAAATTGTGACATGGAAAGTATCAGTTCACTGTATACACAATCACTGTACAAATGTAGCAACACCTAAATGAAAATTGTAATTGCTTAGGTTACCTTATGCAAAGGGTAAAATCAAACAATCAAGTGATGATCAAGAGTGAATAAAAATAATAATAATAATAGGCAGAGACTAAACAACATTTAGAAGACCAGTGCAAACAACAGTTTATTCAACAGGAAGAAGAAGAGAGAGAAATGAACCAATACCAGGTCCAAGAATTTGAGCCATTCAACCCAGCTCAAGATAAAACCATACAAGTTAAGATTTTGGATTATTAAATTAAATAAGTAAGCATATTGGTATTTGGTTATCTAAGTCACACCTTAATATTCTGTTCTTTATCTTAAAGGAAAATACTACATAATTGAGATGGGCAAGTCAGGCAATTTGCAGAAGGAGATTTTAGGTCATCTCCAAAAGCAAAGACCTGATTTGGAGGAAGTGCGCAGTGTGGAGGACTGTGATGTGATTCTTGTTTTCTGCCCCATTGTTTCACGGGCAGGAACTGACATTGATGCTGCACTGAATAAACTTAATACATGTTCAGGTAACTTCAAGATTAAGCACCAGAAGGTTATTCAGATATTGAGATATGAGTAATACTATTCACACATTTTTGACTATCTAACTGTTTATTTGAAACAGCATCCAAACCAGCTATTTAAGGAGAAATACACTCACAGTGGACTGTCTGTTCAATGAAGACGTAGGATTGTTGACATGCAACAGGAATGCGCTGGCCAAAATTGTTCAGTGTTTCAAATATCAGGTATTGTCTTACCTATTTTTTTTAAGTTCATTGAGGTATGTGAACACTAATTATGCAAACATGATTTATAATTGGTAACTATAATTTTATAATTGGTAACTTGTCAGTTTATGTCCCCCTGTTTCTGTTGTTTTGTCCTAACAGTTATTTTGCCTATACCTCAATTACTACATAGACATGACAAATCTAAGTTGATGGTGCTATTAAAGTTTTGCACAATTTTAAAAGGCTGTGTATTTTTCCAGATTGAATGGACATTTTTGGGTGGACCATGCAGTCAAAATTAAGCAATGCTGTGCAGTGAAGCATATTTATTTGCATTTTACTTAATAATATTGCTTGTTTCCCCCTCAGAAACATCTTCTTGAAATTGTACAAATGTATTTCAGTTATATGTGGTACATCTTCCAAAAATGTCTGTATCAAGTATGCTGTTGGATATTTGGCATCGTGACGGTAAGAAAACCTGAACACAATAACTATAACAAAAAAAATGTCACTTCTAAAATATTAAAATTTTATTGATCTCTATGGTTACATATGAAACTGTTGCTCAGAGGATGAAATATAACCACAGAGTAAGTCTGAATTAGTTTGTTACTTGCGTGTTGCTGGTATTAATTCACAGGCAAAAATATGGAATTGCATTACAAGAAGAGATAGAGGAACGTGTGAATCCAGTACAGTAAGTACAGCTTTAATTCTGTAATATGAGAAAGGTTATGGTAATAAAAAAAAAAACTACTAACTGCCGTTAAAAGTTTTTTATTTATCTTATCAAAGAATCCATATTGTCACAAGTAGGCCTACAGAAGGAAAAGACTCAAAGGTAACGTCAACAACAAAGTATTTATTCACAGTTATTTCAGAGAAGCAGCATGGTAAACGTGAGTATATAATTCAATGAAATAGATAGCACTTAGCTTGAGCATAAACAGTTATTTTTATGTTGGTGGGTGTGCGGTGAAGACTAGTGATGACCGCTTTTGAAGCACTGCTTCAGCTTCGAACCCTTTGCGAATCATTTGTTCATTCTCAGTGTGCGTACAGGGGCGCTTTAAAATAACCAAAGGCCCCTGGGCTACAGCATTACAGTAGGCACCCCAACCCCAGAAAACCTATTTTTTAATTAGTTTAAGCTTCCTAACAATTATTTGTCAAATTTCGTTTTTTTTTGTGTTGTTAATATGCCAGTTCACAACACTGTTCTGCGTAAAATGTGAATATAAGCGAAAATGCAAATTCACTCTTTGCCACAAGGTGGCGTTTGTGGAACAGCAGAATTATATAGCCATTACATAAAGTAAACGCTAAGTTATTACGCAGAGGTAATATGAAAGGAAAATGCAATCAAAACTTTCCTGGCTGAAATGTGAGTTTACAGGTATGATTTAAACATCATAAATCACACAAAATATTAATTATTCATCATCAGTAGATCAAAACAACATGTTGGCATAAATGTGGGTTATTTGGTGATTGCTAACTGCAACATGACGTGCTCGTGGTTAATTAGTATAAAGTTTAAAGGGGTCATTTAAAGTTTAAAGTGTTGATTTAAATTTTTCCTTTGGAAAATCCTTCTTTGGAGTGTTACAATCTCTTGGTGCATAAAGAAGATCTGTAAAGTTGCAAAGACTAATGTCTCAAATCCAAAGAGATATTCTTTATAAAAGTTAAGAGTCAACCATGCCTACCTAAAACAGCTCGTTCTAACACACCCCCACATGTCTATGTCACGATGTGGGAAGATTTGCATTTTTTAGTTACACCCAGCGTCACTACCCCCTCCTACCCTACGAATTTCCCCCCCGAAATTTCCCAGCCCCATTTTGGAGGTTCTGCCCACTTTTGGAGTTCACGCCCCATTTTGGAGGTCTCCAGTCTGTAATTATATCTACTTGCCTCTGGATGCATCCTTGATAAAAGGGGCGGAGCAAGAACACATCTGGGGATTTGAACTGTACTTGGATAGATGTGAACTTTGGCCGTTTCTCAATATGCGTTCTCCAGCGATCTTGCGTCCTTGATTGCGTTCCAGTCCATTTTTTTCATGCCCTTCACTCGCAAACTTCCTTCCGTCTCGTTTACTCGGATGTATGTCATTAATTACATTGCACGAGTGCCCACAACTGGCGGAACCCTTGGAATGTGCTGAACAGGAACAACCTAAGCACTTCATCACTTAGAATCCACTATGGAGTTGGTTTATTGTTTACATGTTTCCCCTTACGAACTTGTTTGGTGCAGCATTCTATATGTATATAGATATGCTTGGGCTGTTATAAATGTAAAAAAAAAATCATTCATATATTATAGAGTTGTTTGGGGTGGGGATAAATTAAACGCAATCTGCGATGATGTCATAGTCATGTTGCATTGTGGTCTATGGAGCGGCCTGAAGTGTGCATATGAATCAGACTCGCTCCCTCTGTCAAAATCGAGAGGTTGAGGGTATGTCCATGTAAACTTCCCTCGTCCACTTGACGAAGTGGAACACACTTCAAAATGGCGGTGGGGATTCTCCCGAGGGTAAGTGCTTAGGGAAATTCACCAGTGTGTGTCTAAAAGTGAACTGGATCGCAGCCCTTGTGTTCTCATTCTACGTCATCATTAACCGTCAAAGTTCAATTCAAATTCTAAAGAACGCAAGTACAGAGGATGCATGAAAGTGCTCGGATGTGTTCTTGATATCTAGGATGCATCGAGGGCAGACTTGAGAAAATTGAGCCATTAGAAATCCCAGAAGATGCTGCGGGCAGCCGGTGTATGGAAACCTGCAAGCTTTAAACTCGCTCTCGCAAATACTTGACAGCTCTTGAAAGTAAACATTTATCATTTTATTTTGCTTAATTTTAATAAAGTATGAGAAGCGATTTGTCAACAGAAGAGACGGAGGGCTGCGCGTGAGTGTTTTGCGTAATACTTGTTTATAGATCTTAAATTATTACTTGCTGCTCGGAAGGAATAATTCATTTTCTGCCTATTTCTACTTTGTATTTTCGTTGGAGTTTGTATTTTTGATTGCACTTACTGGTAATTATAATAATTGCCTTCGGCTAGAAGGAGCCTGTGTTATTTGCATTGCTCCCTTCCTGCATTTAAGTGCGAACTGTAGTTTTGTATTTGAGCAATTGTCCTGCTATAGGCTATTGGCTGTGCTAATTAGAAGGCGGCCACAGCTGTTTTCACTTTAGTGTCTTAGACTGTATATCTGATGTCTGTATGCTGATGCGGAAGCATCAGTGGAAGTGTTCAGCCTCCTCGTGTGAAGACCAACGAGTGTAAAGACCTGCAACTTTACCTGCGCGACTTCACTGAGCAACGAAACTGGCAATGCACTTAAGTATTATTTTTATCTTACCTTTACACACTCTCCTTTTCTGTCCTCTCTTTTCAACCTCTATCATGTGTTTCCAAAACATTCCGGTTGTCTCTTGACAACGCTTTAATGTCACACGCAGATGGCAACGCAATCTTGCTAACCTGCATCCTATCTCTACATCTTCTACTGCACCTCTTTCTTTCTCTGTGGGTCTCTGGAATTCTCTCCTCCAGGCCAGCACGGGCTGCCAATTCTAACCCCTGGTTATCCGATGCTCTGCGTGACCAAACTCAGGGCAGCAGAGAGAAAATGGCACAAATCAAAAGATCAGTCAGACCAGAGTATGTATCAGTCTTTGCTATCATTTTCTCTGCTGAAGTCCATACTGCCAAATCTTCATACTTCCACAACAAGATCAACAGCGCTCCAGACACGTAATCTCAATACATTAAATTCTCTCCTCTCTCCCCTCAACCACCTCCCACCACTTCTATAACAGCTGATGATTTCGCCACATTCTTCACAGACAAAACTAGAACAATCAGTAGTCAATTTTCAGCCCCGCACACACAGGACCTCAAACCATCCACACCCACTGCTAAAACTCCCATCTTCTCCTTCTGTCCCCTCACTGAGGCAGAAGTATCCAAACTTCTCCTCTCCAGCCATCCTACAACATGCCCTCTAGACCCAATCCACTCACACCTTCTCCAAGCAATATCTCCTACACTTTTACCAGCACTCACACACATCATCAACACATCTCTCCTCACAGGCACCTTCCCCACTGCATTCAAGCAGGCTCGGGTAACCCCACTGCTCAAAAAACCTATATTAAACACTTCCCTTACAGATAGCTACAGGCTTGTCTCTCTCCTTCCTTTCATAGCAAAAACCCTCGAATGAGTTATTTTCAACCAGGTATCATTGTTTCTTTCACAGAGCAACAAACTGGATCCTAACCAGTCAGGTTTTAGGAGTGGCCATTCAACTGAGACTGCATTACTGTCAGTCACGGAAGCCTTGCGGATGGCAAAAGCTGACTCAAAATCATTAGTTCTTATTCTGCTGGATCTATCTGCTGCTTTTGACACTGTCAATCATCAGATCCTCCTGTCCACCCTCTCATCACTGGGCATCACAGGGATTCCACTTCGCTGGTTTGAATCCTATCTCACTGGTAGGTCTTTCAGAGTGTCCTGGGGAGGGGAGGTATCCAAAGCACATCAACTGGTCACTGAGGTTTCTCATGGATCAGTTCTTGGACCTCTCCTCTTCTCCATTTACACATCATCACTGAGTCCCATCATACAGGCACATGGCTTCTCCTACCATTGCTATTCTGATGACACACAGCTCTATCTCTCATTTCAACCAGATGATCCAACGGTAGCTGCACGGATCTCAGGCTGCCTGGTGGACATCTCGGCATGGATGAAAGAATATCACCTACAGCTCAACCTGGCAAAGACTAAGCTTCTTGTCTACCCTGTCACTCCAACTCTACAGCATGATTTCACCATCCAGCTAGGTTCTTCTACAATTACCCCATCAACTTCGGTCAGAAATCTTGGTGTAACCTTTGATGACCAGCTGACCTTCAAAGACCCATTGCAAAGACTGCTCAATCTTGCAGGTTTGCATTGCACAACATTAGAAAGATCAGGCCCTTTCTAACGGAGCATGCTGCACAACTTCTTGTCCAGTCCCTTGTCATTTCTAGGCTGGACAACTGCAATGCTCTTCTGTCTGGACTTCCATCGAGCACAGTCAAACCTCTACAAATGATTCAGAATGCAGCGGCACGACTGGTCTTCAACTAGCCCAAAAGAGCCCATGTTACACCTCTATTTATCTCCTTTCACTGGCTACCGGTTGCGGCTCACATCAAGTTCAAGACATTGATGCTTGCATATAGAACAGCCACAGGCGCAGCATCCGCCTACTTCCACTCACTACTAAGAATCTACATCCCCTCCAGAAGTCTGAGATCCGCTAGTGAGCGACGCCTCGTGGTACCATCACAGAGAGGCTCAAAATCACTTTCCAGAACATTTTCGTTCACCATTCCTGGCTGGTGGAATGATCTTCCCATGCACCCCATAATAGTATGAAATGTTTTAATAAGTTGCCATAACTTTTGTTTGTAATGTTATGTTATATTTATGGTTCATTGGCCGCTGCTTATTCTGTGACTATGCGGTCAGTTAAGCAAAGAACGCAGCACATCTCAATTCTCAAAAGGGTGCGTTCTGTGTCCTCGCGTCCTTCCGAGTTCGTTCTTCCAAGGAAGCTTGGCAAGACCGATCTCCACGAGCACGCAAGTCCATTTTTTGCGTTCTTGGAATTGAGAAACATTCTGAGATGTGAGCTCAGGGCTGCGCATGCGCACTGGCTGGTCTAGCCTGAAAAATAAGCTTTTTTAATGCTATTTGAGCAAAAGGAACAACATTTATGAGACAGTTATTGTCAGATTTCATTGGTGATTTAAAATATGAAACTTTAAGCTTGGTAAACAGTTTTTGGAGAATTTGATGTTTCCCCATTCAAAGAGATAGGAGCTGCACTTGCATTCCTGAAAGGTGTTTCAAAGATGGCCGGCGAGTGACATGACTTGACTTAAAGGGACTTTGACGAAACTGGCAAAGTCTTGTGATTTCAGTAATGAGGATTCGTTACGTCATAACTGTTTAGAAACGTTTAAAACAACTTTTGTTATGTCGAGACCACGAGAAAATTAAGTCATGATCATGAGAAAACAAGAAAGAAAAAATATATAATAATGCACGCCGCTTAGAACTTCCGTACTATTACAAATTAATTAAAGGGGTCCTATTATGCTCTTTTGATCTTTCAAGTCTTGATTTTGTTTTGGGGGTGTACTAGAACAGGCTCTCATACTTGGTTGTTCGAAAAACACATTATTTTACATTATTACAACACCTCTCTCCCCAGTCTGGCATGAACGGCTCGAATACTTCCTTCCTGTATCAAATGAAGGTCCCCCTTCAGAAATACCAAATGTGCTGTGATTGGTTAACTGGGCCAGTGTGTGTTGTGATTGGCACCACTCAGCGCCTGGTCAGGAAATGTCATATGACTCGTCAGGATCGTTGCGCGTTCTCAGTGATTTGCTGGTCTGCGGCTTATCTGTGTGAGATAAGCTGTCTGCTAAGCGCTTGGCCAAGCTGAAAAATGTGCTGTTGCTGCCAGATCGTGAATGCCGAAAATCACATTGTGTTTGATGCAAAACTAACTTGACTAAATCATATGAAAAAAAACATCATAACTATATTTTCTTGCTTTTTCAAGCAATGCAAATTTTGAAAGTCCGCTAAAAACATATCTGTCATAGACAATGTTGAAGACATGATTGTCAACATGCCTAAGTGGTAAATAAATAAATAAAAGTTTATAAAAATGTAGCTGTATAAAATTTTAAATAATAACAAACTTCATGAAAAAAATAGGAAACAATACCTTTGTTTTTCGTATACTTACAATCTCGCTTACAATTAAAGTCCTTTTCGTATTGTTGTTTGCAACGTTACTTGGCAATATTTTAAAGATATTATTATTATTATTATTATGGTATTTTGCATGGTCTATTATTGGAGTAGTGTCACCCGGGTTGGAGTTTGAACTCCTATTCACTGGGTATAAAAATAAATGAATACAAAAAAAAAAATAATCAGGCAGTGCAGAGACATATAGAGCGGGGGAATCCCCCATCTCCCCACCCTCTGAATATTACTATCATAATGTAACTACGTTATTTACCGGGTTTTACTTGGAAAAGCAGCTGATTTCTAGCATTCAAATAACTATGGATAAACCTGAAATTATAAGAAGGATTGGAGATGAATTTAATTTACAAATGAGGTAGGAATGGGGGGGCTAAATCTTATCACTCAGCATACCCGGTTAAAAAAAGTCACCGCTCGCCACTGCTTTATTTATTTATTACATTTAGCTTTACATAGTTAAATGTAATAAATACATTAAGTTAATACTCCAATTATACTTTCTGAACCTCAGTGTCTGTTTTCAGGCCTTCCCGCTCTCTAAAATTTGAAAAATTGTCCAAAAAGAACACGAGTCCTTACTCTTGCTTGATCATAACCCTTCTTTTTCCAGTGATATATTCTTGTGACATTTTACTCTTCGGTAAAGTCTCAGCCATCTCTCTTTCTACATTCTTTTTACAAATCTCCCTCTTGCTCATTCTCTCTCCGCCCCATCATGAGCATAAACTATTGCTAATTGGCTACAAGAGTGTTGTGGTGCTCGCTCTGATTGGTCCGATCCACTTTGTTTTTTCCCCTATTAATAAAGCCAGGACTACAGTATGTACAAACATTATTATTATTATTATTTTTTTTTTTGAGAAATCGCTTACTGCACCTTTAAGGTCAATTTATGATAAAAACATTTTTTTTTTTAAATCCTGTCCTTAGGGACCATGTGAATATTAAATGAATATCCAAATGGATAAAAAAGAAAGAAAATATGATTCTTATGGGAGAACAGATCAAATAACTTTTAAATTCATGTGTTACTTAAAGTGATGATTAAATGTGTGCAAAACACAAAGTTAGCTGCAAACATGTAAATACAGCTAAGCTATTGAAAGTACTTGAAATAGTACTGAAACTTATGTGGATAAACAAGACTAACCAATTTCATATTGTCACTTTTTCTGCACTATGCTGGAGCAGACCTCGCTGAATTTAGCTCCACAAAATAGAATGCAATGGTGCGTTTCAAGCTTTTTAGGATGGATCAGTTCTAAGGTAATGTAAACTGCAACTCTGTTAAATTGATTCAGCATTTATGTTCTGTTAACAAATATGTTATGCATCGCTCTTTTCTGACACAATTGGGTAAATAAGACACAGGGATGCCCAAAATATCTTTCTGTGAGTATGATTTTTACATTCATTTTTAATAATATAGATTTTTGTAGTTAATTAGTTGAATATAGCGTACTTGATTTTCAGTAGTTTTTATTATATATTAAATTATATGAAACCAAAATTCTCCATAAACCTTTTTATTTTACTAAAGGTTTTTTGGTATAGTTTAACTCATTTTTGTTGTTGTGAGGGTCAAACTGAATTCATTTTGGTTTCATAATGACTTTGGTTTGAACCCCAAATGATTCATTCTTTTTTACAGGCGAAACAGATCCTAAAGTTGCATCAGAACTGACACTTGTCCTGCTGGGCATGTCTGGGCCTGAGAAGACTGCAGTTGAACAGATGATATTTGGCAGAGAGGAGAGTCAAGCTGACACCTCTCCAGCCATTCAGAGGAAGATCACAGTAGATACGAGAGTGGTGGATGGGAGACAGGTGGCTGTGATCAACACTCCTGCCTGGTTCAGCTCTGGGCTCTCCACAGAAGAAATACAACAAAAAATACAATCCTGTATCCGTCTGTCTTCTCGTGGAACTTATGCTTTCCTCCTAGTCATACCAGCAAAGCAGTCTATTGGAGAGAAGAGAGAGATAGTGAAGAAAGTGGAGATGATTTTTGGAGAAAGGTGCTGGGAGAAGGTCTTGATCCTTTTTACTGTTAACAACAAAATGAACAACAAAAGAAGAATATCAAAGACCATGACCTCCAGACACTTGAAATATATGGAAATCAGTTTCATTTTCTCAATATTAGTGAGACTGAGAATAAATCTCAGGTTTCAAAGCTGCTGGAGATGGTAGAAGATTCAGAGCAAGAATTATGAAGAGTTAAATAATCAGAGAAAGAGCCCAGAATAGAGTGAAACTTTTGAATTAGTAGAAGAATGCATGTTAGATTAAAAGAATCCGGATATAAAAAAAAACTTAAGTAAAGGTTTAGTAAAACTCAAATAAACCAAGCAAATTCAAGTTTATTTGCAGATTAGACATATTTAATAGATTAGAGCTGGGTGATAATATAACGATACAAGCACTTGTGGAATATATTCTTTGATCTTGGTTCAAAATAATAGATAGAATTATCATAAGAGAAAATTATCTACTATTATCTGTCTGTGTGCTGTGTGTGTGACTGTGTGCTAAGGATGACAGTGTACTTAGAACAATGAACTATTTAAAACTTGAAAAACACTCATATAAAAAAGGGACCTTATCCAGGAGCTAGAAATAAGTATGTGACAAGTTACTGATCACCTTTCAGGAGCTCATATGGTGAAGATTCTTTATCTAAAAATACAGAAAGACATGTACGGAATCTGTTGAACAGCTTCAGATACTTATTTTACAGAGGAATTTACCAATTAATTCTTTAAAAATCCTACAATGTGATTTTCTGGATTTTTTCCCCCTCATTTTGTCTCTCATAGTTGAGGTATACCTATGATGAAAATTACAGGCCTCTCTCATCTTTTTAAGTGGGAGAACTTGCACAATTGGTGGCTGACTAAATACTTTTTTGCCCCACTGTATATGTGAGTACGAAACCAAATTCTGGAGTGGTGTTTGCAAACACAACTCAGCTTTGTTACTTTGTTCAAAAGTCTATCTGACTTCAAAACCTCCAAGACTTCAGAGCAATTTATTTTAACTAGAAATATTCTACAACACACTCAAGCAGTTGAGATTTGCTATATAGTACATACCGCTTAACATTAGTATGCTGTATGTATCTGGGTAAGGCTGGGTATACTTATAATTCATTATTATTTATTAATTTGTTCATTTGAGTTATTAATTCATGATGTGGTAATATTGAGAAGTATGAAACCTGTGAAACTTTGTGCAGTTTATTACAATTTATATGTAGTGACAAGACTTATTACTATTGGGTGATGTGAGTCACTGCAATGGTTAAATGCTAAGCAGTTAATTAAAAGTCATGGCATAACACTTATACATCACACATACATTGTACATAATGTCTTTAGTCCTGTAGCATGCAAGCCAACTGTGGCAAGGATTGATAAACTCCTTGTGATGTTTGGATAATGGAAAAAAACTATGCCCCATATACAGTCAAAATATAATGATAGTAAGTACTGTATGTTATTAAATTGATTGAACTATAAGATGTCTTAAAAATATTATATGTTATAGCAAATGAGTGAGTTTTTTCTGTTATGTAAAGTGCTTCAGTGTAGGTATTTAGCTGATGATTGCTGTGTGAAATTGGCAGTTATCTTAGAACAGCTTATAACTGACTTGTTCGGGGGCACTATACCTTCTCCCCTTTGTGATCGGAATTTAAAATGTGTGTCAGTGTATGTGTAGAAAAGCATCGTTCTCTCAATCTATACATTTACAACATATATTTTCTGTTAAGCAGCTGCAGTACACAAACCCTGCCATTGAGAATGTCAGAATATTAAAGGCTCAGTTGCCACAAAGTGAAAATTCTGTTATCATATACTCATATATTTATTGATCCACACTCATATGACATTCTTTCTTCTGTGCAAATCCAATGTATTTGAGCCTTATTGTTTTTGTCCTGACACTGATTTATTAAAAGGACCTATCAATCTTTTTGGCAGGCGCTTCCTGAACAGAGCACTGTAGTCTCTTTAAAGCATCATTGTAAAAACAAATCATAGCATGAGCATTATGTGAATAAAATTGAAATATACCAGAATGAATCAGTGGATTATGTGAATTATTAGGGATCATTCCTGCTTGAACATTGTCTCAAAAACGGTTACTGAAAAGATCTATTCTGAAACTAGAAACTGAAACAGAAAGTTTTCTCTAAACAATTGCCTTGTGACAGAGCTTCTCTTTACATTTAAAGGCTTCAATTTCTCAGTACAGATGAAGGAAGCTTTAATGAAACAAAAAGTGACAAGAACAAAGAAATGCATACAGCTTCAGAACAACTTGAAACTGAGTAAATGATGACAGTAATTTTGGGTGAACTATATCCCTTTAAAATCTCATCATATAATGCCAGGATCTCATAATAGTCAAGTGCACATGCTTTATCTTAAACTATTAACGTTCATTGAAGACGCAAATGACTGTGTTGACGAGGAGAAAGGCATTTTCACACATAAGGGTATTCGACCGTTTAAACACAAGGCGCGAAAAATAACTCTTAGTTTAGTCAGGCCGTCTTAACGCGCGCATTTGCCAAAATGAATTCTGCCCCACTGCTTAATGTCCCTGAACAGTTAAATTAGTTTTTAAACCAAAATGCTTAAAATGCGTTTAAATGAAAAGCTTACATCATGACACGCTAAATGAATTTCTCAACCCATAAGCGAATATACTAGGCCTATAGAGTAGACGCCGTGCCACCCCTTTGTCACCCTAAAAATTATTTTCTAGATCCGCCCCTGCCACCATGTCCCTTTAGGGGCTCTGTATGTTTTAAAATTAACCAGGAGAAACACAGAATGAAAATCTCTTAATTACAGAATTAGCCTATTAACAACTGATGAGACATCAAGCGTACCGTTATTTATAGGACATAGAGAAGAGGTCATTTCATCTCATAACAACAGAGTTGCGCCCTATATCTGGTGACTATGTTGCGTGCCCCATTTTTACGCATCTGCAGCGCTACACTCCTGCTTTGCAGTTGTAACGTTATGCACTGTTTCTCACTGTGTATTTATTGAATTATTATATATTGTATTTTCCTGTTTATCCTGTCGCTGAAAAGGTGAAAGTGAAAGAAACAGGAACGTGGCAGCGCGTCTGAAAGTCTACACGAAAGTGAAAGATTGTTATCTATTCTGTTAGAAAGGAGAGAGGAGAGCAGTTCGGGTGAGTACCAGCAGATCCTCTCATTTGATTCTGAGCAGCATAAACCATAGAGTTATTATAAACCGTATCGCATTAGACTTATTCGAATAAATGCACGTCTGATAAACTGTTGTGTAGGCTATTTATGCATTAATATAGTCTATAATGCATAAATATGATTCTTTTCACAAGGCTATGCTTAGTTATTGGCTTAAATATGTCTCATTCAGAGGACACATTTTCGAATAAACATCTGAAGGACTTATAGCTTAATACAAACACAGCCGTGTATTTATGCACCACAAAAGCGCTTGTATTTGGTGTTTTTGCCGATATTCGGACTGTTAAAAAGGCAATATTTTATTGTAATATATCGACATCCAGTGGACATTTTCCATGAACAGACGCTTGGTCATCTTCAATGACGTCACATAATTGAATCGCATGAATAATTTATGAGTATATTTTAATGTTTTAATTTTGTCCAAGACCCAGACTATGAAAATATGAAATATTAAAAATATATTTAAAAAAAAAAACATTAACTAGTATATGTTTAGAACAATCATGATCTAAACAAAGATGTTCAATGAAAATGATAATCAAGCTTATTACTGTGTACTATCAATTTCAGAACAAAACTTAAAATGGATCACACATCTAAGACAGATACTGATGTGAACTGCATCGAAGGACCGAGAGACCAACGTCCTACGATTACTGGTAACTGTAGCCTACAGCTTCAGTGCTCTTTTCTAAAGACTCTATTTGTAATTAGATTGGGGAAAATAATAGATAAAAATGGATGAGTTTTAAGGTGAGATGACTATGACTTATATGAATTAAGCTATATTACATTAACCAAAAGTTTACTTCCTCTTGAAGGAAATAAATATTTCATCCTTTCACCTGGGAAGAGCTTCGCGACTAAAGAGGAGATCATAACAAATGTCCTTCAGCAAATATCAGGTCTACGGGAGTTGACCGTGGAGAAGTGTGATGCCATCTTGGTTTTCTGCTTCATTATTTCAAGGGCAGGAACTGACATTGACGCTGTACTGAATGAACTTAAAGCTCTCTCAGGTGTTGTGCTGTTAGTGCATGTATTATGTAATATCTTTATTTAATAATCTCAAGTTATTGCACTCATTTTCACAGCGAATACTTATAACAACTATTTGATCACTCCATTTTAACAGAGTCTAAACCAGTTGTTTTCATGGTGCTTCATCACACATTCGACCCAGAGAAGACTGTGCCAGACAGCAGCAGATTTGTGACCAGGGTGAATACAGTCACAGTGGACTGTTTGTTCTACGAGGATGAGGGACTCCTGAAGTGTGGGAAGAATGATGAAGCTCTGACCAGAATCCTTCAATGGCTGCAGCCACAGGTATCCAGCTCTTCAGGATAAAAGATCAATATTAATCAGAAAATGTAATGTTAAGTATGGTTCAGGGTAAATGGTCACATCTCATATTTAGAGATAGCCTCCTGTGCATTAATCACATGAGCATAGCTTTATTTATTTATTACATTTAGCTTTACATAGTTAAATGTAATAAATACATTAGGTTAATACTCCAATTATACTTTCTGAACCTCAGTGTCTGTTTTCAGGCCTTCCCGCTCTCTAAAACTGGAAAAATTGTCCAAAAAGAACACGAGTCCTTACTCTTGCTTGATCATAACCCTTCTTTTTCCAGTGATATATTCTTGTGACATTTTACTCTTTGGTAAAGTCTCAGCCATCTCTCTTTCTACATTCTTTTTACAAATCTCCCTCTTGCTCATTCTCTCTCCTCCCCATCATGAGCATAAACTATTGCTAATTGGCTTAAAGAGTGTTGTGGTGCTCGCTCTGATTGGTCCGATTTGTTTTTCCCCCTATTTATAAAGCCAGGACTACAGTATGTACAAACATAATATTTTTTGTTTGTTTGTTTTTGAGAAATCGCTTACTGCACCTTTAAGGTCAATTTATGATTAAAAAAATAAATAAAAAATCCTGTCCTTAGTG